AGGGAGGTGAAGTGACCGGGAGACGGAGAGGTGAGGATACATTCAGACTATTCAAACATTTTTGAATGTATTGGGACTATTAGGAGGTCCAGAGACATCTGAAAAATGTAGGGATGGGGAGACGGGGGAGGTCGGAAACTGGAGGGATAGGGAGATGGGGAGGTGGGAAAGTGGAAGGATGGGGAAGATTGGGAAGTGGAGAAATGAGTGAGGAGGTGAGGAGAGGTGGAAACCGGAGAGGTGAGAATCTTCAGATGAACTATCATCGTGGATGCATCACTCATTTCAACTACTTGGGCGACTGGGATGTAAAGATGCATTGCCAATGCAAAGTTTGCATGAACTTAGCCGCGTTTCTTGGCCGAGTTCATCATCGTGATAACAGAGCATCAACATATCCTGCCAACCGTGCGCGATCTTGCGTCGTTTTGAAAGTTTCACCAGGTCACTGGTGCCGACGATCTCTAATCTTGCCTTTGTTTCTCACAGTCCACCTTCTCTGTTTCCTGACCATTGATCTCTGTATTTTACAGCTAAGAAACGGCCAGATACAGACGAAATGAAGATGAGCCGTACAATGAGGAGCAATACAATCCAACGATAGCTGGAGAGCGCCATCATTTTTACTTTCAACTAGTTCTATCGCTGTGCCTCGCTCCCGTTATCTCGGGCGATGGTCACAGTCCCAATACACAATCGATGGGTTTGAAAAGTCCAAAAGCCCAAATGTATCTTGTCCACAGAACAGTCTCAATACGTGTCAAACGTCGACTTACCGTAGTGGAGTGCGGCCCATGGTTTTGCACTTTTATGCACAGTCCCACACTCCTCACATGTGTAGCGGAGCGGGCGGCTTTTTTTTCTGAAAACGGAAACGATTAGCCGATTGATTTTATTTAAATTTATAAATTTATTTATCATTGAAAAAAAAAATTCTAGACCGCCAACTACCTGAAGCGTTGCGAAAACTACCACACACGAAAAAAAAAAGAAAATCCAAATTTCAAAGTCGCAAAGCAAATGAGAGACACATTCACACCGCACTTTCCACTACCTTCTTCCCCCGAAAACAACGAACGGTCATTATCATTATAGCTGGCATCTAGATTCTAGACTGACAGTTGGCCCAAATACAGCTATAATGACCGTACGGCGTACGTTATATTCGGCGGAAGAAGGTAGGCTAAGCCCAGACCATACTTATAGCCCAAGGTCCAATCAAGCCACACTTAGTCCAAAACAGCCATCACACTACCGTCTTCACCGGAATAGAACGTCCGCCTGCCGGGATCAAAAGTCTTAGGGTCTCGCCGCACGGCACACGAAACGAAAACGAAACGAGTGCATCTGCCCAACAAAGGTGGCAAAATACACTCGTTACCATTTATAGCAAACCGACGAACATGGCCATTTTCTGTGGGAAGATTCATTCGTTTCGTTTTTCGTTTCGCGTGCCGTGCAGCAACGCCCTTACTTACCTTGAGCCGCAAGTACACGACCCGTCGGCCCCAGTCTTGCAGAAAGTTTTTTTTGTCGCCACAAGCAAAACTCGCAGGGGCCGCACGGCGCCATGGGGCGCCGTTGAAAAAAAAAATCAGTCCGCGGCCTCCGAAGTGATGGTGCGGGTTTCGTGATGACACGCGCGGGACGATGTGCAGTGTACCGGTGGTTTTAAGGTCCTAACGACTTCGTCAGAATAGAGTGCGCGGTAATTATTATAGCCGTACCTGGACCACCTTTCGGTCTTGATACAGGCAAAAAAGAATGACCGGTGGCTCTGTTCCGGTCAAGACGGTATGAGCACGTCTATAAGTTCCGACGACTCTTCCGAGGTAGATAGCTATAGCGTACAGCGTCCAAACTGTACTGCAAACAGGGCTGGAAAAGTCAGCCCAGGCGCAAGAAAAGTCAACAGCAGTCAAAACCTTCAGAGGTCAACCAAAATTTTTTACTGCTGTTAAAAAAAAAAAAAAAAAAAAAAGATCTAATCCCTCAAAAGTCAACCCAGGCCGTAGCTCGCACACCAATCCAAGGGCTCGGAGGTAAACGGAATAGGCAGTGAGCATCAAAACGTGGCTGCATCTCAGTTCCTCACACAAGCGAAACTCAGCCCTTCCTTCGGGTCGAGAGGAGGCAGGCCAGGTCAGTGCACACAAGACAAGCCAGCCTCTTCCCCATCCTTGCTTATTCTGCATAGCGCATTGTCCTGGAGAAGTTTCAAGTACAAGAGAGAGAGAGAGAACTGGAGCGGTTCCAGTACAAGCGAGAGAGAGAGAGAGAGAGAGAGAGAGAGAGAGAGAGAGAGAGAGAGAGAGAGAGAGAGAGAGAGGCAGCCATAGCTAGTTAGGAGAAGACGACGACGATCCACCATAGCAAGTGTACAGAGAGATGCAATGACCTGTGCTAAGAAAGAGGAGCTCACACAAGACATCACCTGTCGATGATCGGGAATGAGGAGGGAGGCAGTGCACTACTCCAAGCAGCCTGCACTGCCATATCTGGTGTTCATCTTGCAGAGTGGAATAGTTTGGAGAGTGCCATTGTGCCCTGCCTTCTTCACTCGAACATAACATACCATCGTTATTGGTGCATTTGACTGAAAGACGGCCCAAATACAGATCCAACGACTGTACGTTGTATTCAGATGAAGAAGGTAGCAAGGGGCTGTGCAGAGGAGGGGTGTGTAATGAGTCGCCCACACATCGGCCGCGCACCCGACACTGCAACTCTCGGAGAACCGAAATGCGACAACGGCCGCTGATGAAATTTATAATGAGCCGCGTCTCTGAAAAATAGTTGGGAAAGGAGTACTGGTGGTTCAGACGCCGACGACATTTTGAGGTAGTGCTTGGGGTGGAGAAGAGCTTGGAGACAGAAGAGGGAGTAGAGACCTGAAGACTGACTTTATTAATCTTATGCTTGAGGTATCATCATCTTCTTCTTCATCTTCTTCTTCTTCTATTTCTTCTTCTCAAAGAGTACTCACGTTAGGACTTTCGTTGATGTATCTGACTGGAATTCATCTTATCCTGCATGCATCTGAACGCAATCACATCCACATACGGGTATGCCCTCGTTGTCTTGCCGCGCGGCTTTATCGAGTACATGGAGGGTAATGGAAACAAAGATAGGGAATTGAATTGAGACTAGAAAACTCCATTCATGCCCTCCGCTACCTCCTTCCCCCCCACACGTTCCCACCTTCTCCCCCCTTCCTTCTTCTTAACACTAAACCAGGAAAACGAAAAAGAACTCAGACTCGGGATGGAATTTGATGGTGCAGAAATGTTCCCAGATCGATGCAGTGCAATGCAATGCAATGCAATGCCGGAAAAAGAAAAGAAAAGAAAAGAAAAGAAAAGAAAAGAAAAGAAAAGAAAAGAAAAGAAAAGAAAAGAAAAGACAATTCTATATTTTCTATTCATCAATATTTTATTTTTATATTTTATATTAATTGATTTTCGAAAAATTATGTTATTCATTATGAATGAAACGAAGAATAGATATACTAATTATCCTTCTCAATAAATAAAAATTAAATAAGGTTTAAAGAGTTATTTTGTTCTCATCGTCTTCCTATCCTAATGGGAGAGTAGGTTATCTAAACAATTCCGGTGGTTCTTTGGTACCTAAATAAAAAAGAGATGGTATTTTATTTTCTAAACCACAAGAGAAGAAAAGAAAAGAAAAGAAAAGAAAAGAAAAGAAAAGAAAAGAAAAGAAAAGAAAAGAAAAGAAAAAAGCTGCCTCTTTTCACCTGCCCTAGCGACGTGGCCAGACTGATTTAGCAGGGCGGGATTTGGCACGATGCCTGGCCCGGGGTGCCTTGTAACCCTAGGGTGAAAACTCCATTTAACAAAGTTTCCTAATTTGGAAAATTGAAACCAAACACATTCTCAACTCAGAAATCATCCCCAATGTGACCCAATCCAGCAACCGCGAGAGTTAAAAAAAAAAACAAAAAAAAAACACTGCTACTAAACATTCTCTTACCTTCTCTGCGCGGCGCAATGCCTCAGAAAAAAAAACTCACTCCACCCCTGCAAAAACTTCTGCACCTGCCTCAATCTCAGTCGAAGATTGCTGCTCATCTGCTAATCTGTAGAATCTGTAGATTCTGTACCAACATCCACATAACCATAGAAAGCAACAAGTCAGACTCATCAGATGAGGAACTGGGCTTCACCAGTTCCCTAGCACTCTGGATGGACTGTGCACGCGTGTGTGTGTGTGTGTGTGTGTGTGTGCTGTCTCTTATACACATCTAGATGTGTATAAGAGACAGGTCATTGTCCGTGCACACCGCCTCCTCCCGCACCG